ATTAATGCACAAGTTTCATGTCGGAAGTTGTAGATTTATAGTTAATTGATATTTTGTTGCATCAGGTGCATTGCAGATTATTGTGCATCTTATTACAGAAAGTACATAATTATTGTCATATTTAATCATAATTATCAATAATTTGTGTCTCTGTTGTATTTTTTACTTTTCGTCAAAATTAACTCTGAAAATATATGTTTATATGAAGAAAAGGAACATTTTCTTATGTATTCATGGTTTTTATTAAGTTAGAGATAAATTATTGAGGGCGTGGGCGCCCCAAAACAAATTTTGCCTGCTGCGCAGTAACTACCTCACCGTAATTCATAATCTTTTAGCCTCCTTACTCGAAATAGTCACGCCCGCTACTTGGTATGATCATCATACCAACCCAGTTTGAAAAATATCTCACTGCCTCAACACAATAGCTTGCTTGCTCAACTAGATGATACATTATGGAAAAAAAACCCTGATACCACTTCTAAGCAAGGAATGGCATCGGCATCGCAATGTTCTTGACGGTTTTTGTTACCCCTTAATGCCGCCCGCAAATGACGAGCAGATGTGATGAATTAAAATACGAAATCATCTGCAGAAAAGTTTCACTTGTCTGGGTGCAATTGGATCCTGAAGTTTTTAGTTACCATAGGTTTCCTGAAAAACTAATTCCGAAATTATTCGTTTCTGAATTCTGATTCCACTCCCTTCATCAAAAGAGTGTATCATAGGAAAAATCCCTCCTCATTCAAGGGATGTTGTAGTTCATAGCAGCATTTGAAAAATAAATATTGTGGCGTGGAGCTTCTACTCAAATTGGCCTAAAATATCTTCTTCTCATGACTTGTGTTATATTTGTGTGTCATAATAATTGCAGAACCTGGGAATATTTCTTCCCGCGATGCCTGGATTTTTCGGGAAGTAGGAAGTAGGTAATAACTAACTATCTCGGTCTCAACCGGAACATCTTTGTTATGAATATTTCAACGCGATAAATTCTTGAATATTCGAGCTTGTCGCAATATATTTTTGTTACTATGTTCGTAAAATTCCACATTTATAAACTCTTCATAACTCTCTACTATAATAAACTCTGTGCTCAAAGTAAATAATTAAATGCTGCCCTCGATGTTACATTTTGCCATGCAAATAATACAAAGTATTATCATTCACCAAAGCCAAAACTAGTTGGCAGCTCTCAAAGTAGTCAAAGTTACTTCGCAGCAATTATGGGCAGTTATAAATTTCGCGTCACCGCAACATTATTTTAGAGCGCTTTGAAATAGAACCAGGAAACAAATGCCGGTAGTAAACTGTATCTTTTGGATAATAAAGCGAGGAAATAATGTTTGTTTGAGAATGCAACAATGGGGTCCATGTGGAGTGGGACTGTTATCGTTGCTGAAATTTATAATAGGCAGCCAAAAACGATTAAACTTTTAGCGGAGTAAACAAATTGAACTAATTTATAATAATTTAGAGCAAATCTGATATTTGAAGACTTGGTTTTCAGCAAATTTTGACGTGGTATTTTGAAAGCAATCAATAGGTGACCCCTATCATCAAAAGAAACTCCATATAAAAACGAAGTCCCTACAGGCCTTTATACAGTTTATCTTCTCCAACACAAAACCCCAATGCAAATTCGCCAAAGAAAGTTAGATTTATTGGTAGCCATTCGGGTGAATATTGCAGTGCTTAATACGAAATTTTTTCCTTGGTCATGCAAAACCCTTCCAATATTATTAAAATGACGAATATTTTCTGAGGAGGCACTTCGACGGGTATTATGAAAGTCAGGAAATATATTGCGTTTTTATTCAACTTATTTAGTGTGCCATTCTATTACTATTTTTCCAAAAATGACAAATGATAAATTATCATACCAATATTTGTAGCTTCAATGAACCTTCGTAAAAATAAAAAGTCCAACACTGGAACACCCGCAACAATATTGCTATAAGATACAATACTTATTAATCATTCCTCTAAAATGTCACTAACAACCCTCTAATTTTAAGAGGCAATGTTTCACTTTGATAACTATAAAAAGAATCACGCAATATGGCTATTAATACTGCATAGAGCAACTTGTATATAGTAGCCCTTCCTTTGAGGTGGTTATGATAAGATATTCATCATTTGGTTGATATAGCGTTTTATATTTTAATGTTAAGCAGGTATCGTGTTGGAATTTCTAGATCGATTTCTGAAGAGTTTTTAGTGGGAATAACGAGACAAAGAAAAAAACACCATAAAATGCAAAATTTTTTAAAATAAATATTTACCATCACATGATTTTGTGTGTGATTAAGAAATTAAATCAGTTCATTAAAACCAAAAGGCGAAATATAATATAAAATACTCGATAAGGAATCAATGGTACATGCCCACTCGTATATCTGGTTCATCTGCGACTACATTTGTACAAAATTTAGCAGTTTTGAATGTTCGGGGTTGTGCCAGCAGAGCTATCTGTATCATGGTGAAGTTAGTATTGGATGCTCTAATGCAGGTACTGATGTGAGTCATGTGGAACTGGGGCGTAGCAGAGTTTTTAATAGGGCAAGCTTTCAGAGTTTTCACCAGCTGTATGTTGGGGTCAACTAGCCAAGCCTGAAGGTGTCTCCCGTGACTCTGGCCACTTTTCACAACGTTCTATTGGATGTTTTTGACAGAGCTTCTCCCCTGGGATGGATTAGTTCTCAACGAAAGAAATCTTGGCTCACTAGAAGTATTCGCGCCATCGCAGGGTTATCAGGGCAGCAAAAAATATTTATTATGAATATTTCCTTCACGTTTAAAAAATCCTCTATAAGAGGAATGCAATTATCGAAAACTTACAGCGATAATTGCCCGGCAGGTACGGATAAGTGCCCGGCAGGTACCGATGATTTTTCTGCCCAAGCAGCAATTTGACGTTGCGGCAACGTATTTGAAAAAGTTGCGCAACCAAACATAAGTTGCGTGAACGACCTTAATACATCGTTGTCTTGAATTGTCTTCTGGGTTTTTAAAACGTTCCAGTTTTAACTGTAGGTAACAGTTGGTCGTTTCCTAAACGTTGCTGAATTTACTTTCAAACAACTACACACCTGCGCCCTCTCGCAAGTCAATGAGATTTTACTTTTTGTTGTGTTTAGGAAATAGTAAATTTTTCAACCAAATATTCACTGCTAGCCAAAATGGACACTTAGAGAAAACTTTCTTTCAACTTACTACCATATACCTAAATATGTTATTCTTATGCTTCAAATACGTTATTTATATTGCCGAAAAAAAAAACAACATACGAACAGAAATCATCAACGCATATCATTTTACTGGTAAATGTACTATCGATTCATGCCAAAGGGGCAAGTCCGGCAACAGCAGCACTACGCTGGTAGTGTACCAGATAAAAATACATGGAAGACATACGAATGTATTGTAAAAGCCAGTAATATACTCTTGTACATGCACGCTTCTGCCCAGGCTGACCAACTTTGTGCAGTCGAAGACAGTAGTTCGGACTGTCTACAACACAACAGACGACGAAAGAAAAAGAGTCCCCACAAAGTCTACTTCTAGAAGAATAAGTGTCCTTAAAAAGAACACACTGCCTGATGCTTATGATTTTAACTTCAATAAGAAGCCAGAAAAACCAGTCTTAGAACGTCGATGTGCACCCCAAGATGCTGAAACAATATCCTCCAAAACTAGAATAGCTAGAGCAAGCTCCGAGGCTCAATTCAGTAAAATTGTCGAAACTACGCTGGTTAATGACACTGATGAGGTACTGGAAAAACTGGTCATACTAGAAACTAAAGTGGATCAGCTATCTAAAGACTTAAAGGAATGTAAGTATTTATTTAAACAATGACTCAACCACCAAGCAACAGTTTAATTCTTGGTTAAATTTTAATAATGTATAACAAATTTATATAGGCTTTAACTATAATATTTTATCTAGGGCTCGGAATTGTATTCGAATAATTCGAATAGTCGACTATTCGACTATTCTAAATTCGACTTTTTTGTTCGTTCGCAAATTCGACTATTCGAATATTCGACTATGACTATTCGAATATTCGACTATTCGAATATTCGACTATTCGACTATTCGAATATTCTAATATTCGAATATTCGAAAATTCGACTATTCGAATATTCGACTATTCGAATATTCGAATATTCGAATATTCGAATATTAGAATATTCGACTATTCGAATATTCGCACTAAAGGCGAGAAAAGAAAAAAAAAATTAATATATACCCCTAAAAACTAAAATTTCCCTAAGGGAAGTGTCCCGTCGCTGAATGGGGGTGAGTTACAAAAAAAGTTGATGGAGAAAAATTGTAGGAAATGTAATCTTATAAAACTTTTATTAAGAAAATTTTTTTGTAAAAAAATAAATAAACTTTAAACTACCCCTATTGAAAAACGGCAGGGGGTGAGTAAAAACTTCATAAAGCAAAAATGTTGTATGTGTTGTAGAAAATTTTTTCACGTTGGTTAAAATTTTTCATTTTCATTATAAAATTTCAAACGGCCCTTATGACCACAGACGGCCCTTAATAAAAAAATTCTTTAGATAAACATTGTAGATCAAATAATGTTGCACATCTTTTATTTGAAACATTTTTTTGTAAAATCAATAAGTACTAAGTAATCGCCAATGGCGCACTTTCAACCCCTATAGCGCAAAACGCCAGAGGGGTGAATGTTTGATATTTTCGGTTTTATGATCATCCACCCGCCCCCTATCATCCCTGGAAAGTTCATTTGGGTAGGATTTTTTTTTTTGCAATGCATGTATTTTTCGACTATTTTCCTAGACTAATACAAAAACAACAGTTCACCTGTTCTTAAACCTAAAATTGAAATACATGAAGGTTTTTTTTCTTCAAATTTAACAGTAAGTACACAAATTAGGAACAAACTAAATGCTGGCTAACAAGAACCTAAAAATAAAAACTCTATAAAATCAGTCAAGTCACGCAACAGTACCTACCATTAAAGCTAGTCCTCCTTCCCGAGATACCCATCTTCGTCCACATTGAAAACCTCATGAACTTCTACCTCCTCAAGCTCCCCATCATTATCTTCAAAATTTCCTGTTTCTCCAATGTCCTGCGGCTTCTCTTGGGTTTCTGTACCAAGATCTAGATCTTCTTTCTTTTCGTGGGTTTCTGTCACTGCCTTAACATTTTTGTTCACCTTCAAGCGTGTGTTACTATGTTTTAGTATGCAATCTCGAAAGAAACTTTCCCTTGTTGGGTAAGTAAAATAATTGTCAGATTTGAACACTATGTTATAAAATATGTTCAGAATCCCAGTTAGCTTGTTGAAGGCTTTTTTTCCATGCTTCTACTCATACCTGTCCATGAGTATTTGGTAAGCAATTGTTTTGTAAACATAATCGCATTGCTGATCCGATAGATCTTGTCGAGTGGGTGAAAACTTTTTTCTTATGTGGCTTGTCTGCCTCCAGATCCTTCTCCAACTTTTCTAAGGCTGATACCAAGTCAATTGGAAATATTTCCAACTCATCCTCAGTAATCGTCAAGGAAGACTCAGTTTTTTTCAATATGGTATCAAGATTGTCAAGACGCACAGAAATATCAGCATAGTTTTCCACAATTTTTGCCAATATGTTTTCTTTACCTGAAACAAGATAAAATTAGGGCTCGGAATTTTTGAAATTCAAGTATTCGAATAGTCGTTTGGTATTTTATTCGAATAGTTGAATAATTCGAATAGTCGAATATTCGAATACCTATTCGAATAGTTGAATATTCGAATAGTTGAATATTCGAATAGTCGAATAGTCGAATATTCGAATAGTCGAATATTCGAATAGTCGAATATTTGAATAGTCGAATATTCGAATAGTCGAATAGTCGAATAGTCGAATATTCGAATAGTCGAATATTCGAATAGTCGAATATTCGAATAGTCGAATATTCGAATAGTCGAATAGTCGAATAGTCGAATAGTCGAATAGTCGAATATTCGAATAGTCGAATATTCGAATAGTCGAATATTCGAATAGTCGAATATTCGAATATTCGAATATTTGAATATGTAGTCAAAAAGTCGAATATTCGAATAGTCTAATATTCCAATAGTTAAATATTGATAGAGGACCTAATTAAGAGAACCAATTGGGACTTTAAAAATGACGTTTTTCGACTAACAATCATTCTTGATAAAAGTTTCTACTTCCCGCAAAAGTACGTTCTACGACGAAGCGAATTTTTGATTTTTTATGCAGAGTCTTAGTCAGAAAAACTAAAATAATTTAGATGTTTTCTAAATGGCAAATTTACAGAGGGTTTACAAATTGTTCAAATCAAAAAGTGAGTAATTGCATTGTTAAATAGTCCAATATTCGAATAGTCGAATATTCGAATATTAGAATATTCGACTATTCGAATATTCGACTATTCGAATATTCGATTATTCGAATATGCGACTATTCGAATATTGGACTATTTAACAATGCAATTACTCACTTTTTGATTTGAACAATTTGTAAACCCTCTGTAAATTTGCCATTTAGAAAACATCTAAATTATTTTAGTTTTTCTGACTAAGACTCTGCATAAAAAATCAAAAATTCGCTTCGTCGTAGAACGTTCTTTTGCGGGAAGTAGAAACTTTTATCAAGAATGATTGTTAGTCGAAAAACGTCATTTTTAAAGTCCCATTTGGTTCTCTTAATTAGGTCCTCTATCAATATTTAACTATTGGAATATTAGACTATTCGAATATTCGACTTTTTGACTACATATTCAAATATTCGACTATTCGAATATTCGACTATTCGAATATTCGACTATTCGACTATTCGACTATTCGACTATTCGACTATTCGAATATTCGACTATTCGAATATTCGACTATTCGAATATTCGACTATTCGAATATTCGACTATTCGACTATTCGACTATTCGAATATTCGACTATTCAAATATTCGACTATTCGAATATTCGACTATTCGAATATTCGACTATTCGACTATTCGAATATTCAACTATTCGAATATTCAACTATTCGAATAGGTATTCGAATATTCGACTATTCGAATTATTCAACTATTCGAATAAAATACCAAACGACTATTCGAATACTTGAATTTCAAAAATTCCGAGCCCTAATTTTATCTTGTTTCAGGTAAAGAAAACATATTGGCAAAAATTGTGGAAAACTATGCTGATATTTCTGTGCGTCTTGACAATCTTGATACCATATTGAAAAAAACTGAGTCTTCCTTGACGATTACTGAGGATGAGTTGGAAATATTTCCAATTGACTTGGTATCTGCCTTAGAAAAGTTGGAGAAGGATCTGGAGGCAGACAAGCCACATAAGAAAAAAGTTTTCACCCACTCGACAAGATCTATCGGATCAGCAATGCGATTATGTTTACAAAACAATTGCTTACCAAATACTCATGGACAGGTATGAGTAGAAGCATGGAAAAAAAGCCTTCAACAAGCTAACTGGGATTCTGAACATATTTTATAACATAGTGTTCAAATCTGACAATTATTTTACTTACCCAACAAGGGAAAGTTTCTTTCGAGATTGCATACTAAAACATAGTAACACACGCTTGAAGGTGAACAAAAATGTTAAGGCAGTGACAGAAACCCACGAAAAGAAAGAAGATCTAGATCTTGGTACAGAAACCCAAGAGAAGCCGCAGGACATTGGAGAAACAGGAAATTTTGAAGATAATGATGGGGAGCTTGAGGAGGTAGAAGTTCATGAGGTTTTCAATGTGGACGAAGATGGGTATCTCGGGAAGGAGGACTAGCTTTAATGGTAGGTACTGTTGCGTGACTTGACTGATTTTATAGAGTTTTTATTTTTAGGTTCTTGTTAGCCAGCATTTAGTTTGTTCCTAATTTGTGTACTTACTGTTAAATTTGAAGAAAAAAAACCTTCATGTATTTCAATTTTAGGTTTAAGAACAGGTGAACTGTTGTTTTTGTATTAGTCTAGGAAAATAGTCGAAAAATACATGCATTGCAAAAAAAAAATCCTACCCAAATGAACTTTCCAGGGATGATAGGGGGCGGGTGGATGATCATAAAACCCAAAATATCAAACATTCACCCCTCTGGCGTTTTGCGCTATAGGGGTTGAAAGTGCGCCATTGGCGATTACTTAGTACTTATTGATTTTACAAAAAAATGTTTCAAATAAAAGATGTGCAACATTATTTGATCTACAATGTTTATCTAAAGAATTTTTTTATTAAGGGCCGTCTGTGGTCATAAGGGCCGTTTGAAATTTTATAATGAAAATGAAAAATTTTAACCAACGTGAAAAAATTTTCTACAACACATACAACATTTTTGCTTTATGAAGTTTTTACTCACCCCCTGCCGTTTTTCAATAGGGGTAGTTTAAAGTTTATTTATTTTTTTACAAAAAAATTTTCTTAATAAAAGTTTTATAAGATTACATTTCCTACAATTTTTCTCCATCAACTTTTTTTGTAACTCACCCCCATTCAGCGACGGGACACTTCCCTTAGGGAAATTTTAGTTTTTAGGGGTATATATTAATTTTTTTTTTCTTTTCTCGCCTTTAGTGCATATAAAAAGGTGCAATTAACATTGTGTTGAAAGGATTTTTTTTTTTCCACTTTCTTTTTGTTTTTAGGGGTAGTTCGCCTATTTTCAACTTTACAAAAAAAAATTATAGAGTAAAGTTGTTCAAAATAATAAAATGAACAAGTTTTCACAGTAATTCTTTTTTGTAAAGTTGAAAATAGGCGAACTACCCCTAAAAACAAAAAGGTGGTGGAAAAAAAATTATTTCAATTCAATGTTAATTGCAACTTTTTATATGCATTAAAGGCGAGAAAAGAAAAAAAAAAATTAATATATACCCCTAAAAACTAAAATTTCCCCGAGTGAAGTGTCCCCCCGCTGAATGGGGGTGAGTTACAGAAAAAGTTGATTAGGAAAAATTGTAGGAAATGTCATCTTATAATAGTATATTGTGTATTTAGGTGGAAAAGTGACACATTCTCGGCCGACAGTGTAACTTGACGGGCGAGGCGTAGCCGAGGCCGGCAAACACCGAAGGCCGAGAATGTGCTTTTCCACCGAAATACACATACTATTTTTTCTGCGATCAGTTAAATACCTGTTAAATGTTTGTCTTTTAGTTCCAATTATTCAACAATGCGAGAATCACTTTCCCGGCCTAGGCCAGAAAAGTTTTTTCTGTATTGTTATTCATTGATTCCTTAGCAACTATTGAAACATAATTGAAATACCAGAATGTTGAGTTTTGCGACCTGTCAACCGGTCAAAAATAGTGACATTTCTTGTCAATCGCAGAAAAAACTTTTATCAAGAATTTTTTTTTGTAAAATAATAAAAAAAATTTAATACTACCCCTATTGAAAAACGGCAGGGGGTGAGTAAAAACTTCATAAAGCAAAAATGTTGTATGTGTTGTAGAAATTTTTTTCACGTTGGTTAAAATTTTTCATTTTCATTATAAAATTTCAAACGGCCCTTTTGACCACAGACGGCCCTTAATCAAAAAAGTCTTTAGATAAACATTGTAGATCAAATAATGTTGCACATCTTTTATTTGAATTTTTTTTTTTTGTAAAATCAATAGGTACCAAGTAATCGCCAATGGCGCACTTTCAACCCCTATAGCGCAAAACGCCAGAGGGGTGAATGTTTGATATTTTCGGTTTCATGATCACCCACCCTCCCCCTATCATCCCTGAATAGTTCTTTTGGGTAGGATTTTTTTTTTGAAAATCGGCAATTTTCCTAGACTAATGCATTAGTACTTATAATAAGAATTGATGATTTAGTTATGTTACTATGTGAAATATTTTTTATTTTTCTTGAGGTTCATGTCAATAATTGCAGGACTATGTTTAAATAAAAAAATAAAAACAGAATCAGAAACATGTGTTTTTATTCATTAAAATATCTTCTTCAGGTACCTTTCGAGGTACCTATAAAATTTTGCAATGCAACCTTAAAGTTGAGATAAAACTTGATTATTTTAGCTAAACCATACAAATAACTGGTCAACTTTTATTTCTTAAATAGGTCAAAAGTATGAACTAGTGGTGGAAAAACTATTTGATTTTTATAATTTATGCTAACCAATTTGCACTTTATTTCCTGTTCCTTTATACTAATATATC